AACACACTTTAAAGGAAAACCACAGATTGGACTTGCTGTCTTACAGAACACATGTTTATTTATAGACTTCTTAAAGCCTGCATTCTGAGCCTGAAGTAAATAAGTAATTTGAAGTAATGAGCTGAGAGACATGGCAGGGGTGTTGTCTTGTATTTTTTGTTATGGCTTTTTTCCGCCCCCAGTCCCTTACAGGAAGGAGAGTCTAGAACACTTAATCCATACAGAGGGCAAACACTTAAGTTGCTGCCCATTTACATAGCTGAAGTACCAGCAAAAGGGCTGGAACAGAAGGGAGTAGCAGTAGCCAAAGTTCCTTTTATTGAAGTAGAAGCTGCATTTGCTGAGCGCCAGAACTAGAAAACTGAAATGGTGAGCTTGGCCCTGACATCCAACATCAGTCTCCTGTGCCAGAACAGGGAATCTCAGGCTTGCAGTAGCCTCAAGGGCAGGGGGAAGAAGGTGCTTCTCCAAACCAGCCAAGAACCTCTGCCAGCAGCACGTCTCAGAGGGCCCCATCCATGCTGTGTGACCGTCATGTGCTTGGTACAGGAGCTCACTGTTGTCTGTGCTTCTCCACACTCATCCCGGAGCCAGTGCACTCGCTGGCAGTAAATCTCTCCACTTCCAAATTTCAGAGGGGAAGCAAACCTGGCTGTGCAGGGGATTGCTTTACAGGTGATCCATGCCATGCAGAAAGGCCAGTGTGAGGCCTGGTGCATCTCCCGTGTGGAGTTTGTGCCTCACGTCAGATTCTCTTGCTGGCTCCGGCGAGGTGGAGAAGCACCACGTGTGACCGTGACTGCGACTGCCCTGCTAACCACAGTGTGTGATCTCTTGTTTTTGTTTCCTGCTTTTTCACAGCAGAAGGGGCCCCGCCTCACCTACTCGACCCACCATAATCCGACCGGCTGAACCGTCCCTCTTAGATTTATAACTTGAGGCTGTAGACAGCTGGCGACGAGCGCCGTGCCGGCGGCTTCCCCATCCCACCCTCCCTTCCTCAGCCACAGTCACTCCTCTCATCCATCCCACATCTCTGCCTCCCGCCACCCCCTTCCCAGTGTGTTGTAAAAAACACTAGTGATCGAGCTCTTCGTCTTCGCTCGTGCGTCCTGTATTGCTTTGTGAGCGTAGAGTAGCCTTCATTCAGTGGCATGGATCCCTGAAGTACACAGGCTCCTTGGAGAGATCAGCCACAGGGACACCCTTAAGTCCAAGTGGTGGCTGTCCATCCAGTAATTCCATCTGCCTGGTCTAGCCTGGATAAGTGTCCTGCCTGCACCACTTAGTTGTAGCACCCAGGACTGATCTGTAGCTATTTTCTTTTCTTGTAGTTAAGACGAAGGCGTGACTTAGGGGAAAAAAAAAAACCCACACGCTGTCGAAACACGTGACACCGTTAGGAACAGATTAGATGTCCTGTGTATTAGTTTGACTTCTAAGGTGCAAAATTTCATGTTGGGAACAGTGCAATCAACCTTTTATCAAAGTGAGGCAGGGAGGGGGGGAATGAACGGATCTAGTCCTGCTAGAGTGAAGTCTGAGATAGCGCACACACCTTGGCGTGCAGGAGCACACAGACCTGCTCGGCTCCCCAGGGCTGGGGAATTCCTGCTGGGGACACACTGGCTCCTGCCAGCAGTTGTCTTGCATCATCATTTTTGGCTGACTTTCCTGACACCCCAGCAGGGCGAGGGGAATAGACACGCTGCTCCCCCCTTGCACACGGACAGCCAAATGTTTCAGGGAGTTCGCTGTGTGATGTTCTGTTGAAAATATTTCTGCTTTGAATAAGCACATCTTTCAGTGTTTTTGGGGTACTGTGGTGACTTTCTTCCGTAGCCTTTTTCTTGCATGTGGATGGTACGTGTTTGGGGAAACTTGTAACCGTTGTTGATCACAACTCATCTTAAGGTTTGGTTTTTACTCTTCATGCTACATGTATTAAAAAAAAAAAAAAAATACTTGAGAATTAAAAAAATATATCAACCCCGTACATCTCAGATGTCATGTCTCTACCAGAGCTGAATGAGCCACCTGTGTTCCAGGCTTTCCTCCAGGCCTGATTCACGTTGAAGTTCTCTCGTTTCAGTGCTATTGCTCTTAATTTCTGTTGTGGATCCTCTATTGTTCTGATGCCAGTTCCTTTCTGTATTTTAACTATTGTTTTACTACTTCTCCTCCTTTTCCTTCCCTCTCCCTTTTTCTTTGTTTTTCTTGTCTTTAACCTCCAGCCGGCCGGGTAAGGCCAGTCCCGCCCGCCCGGAGAGCCCAAAACCACCATTTGACATGTAGTCCTGCTCCCTCTGAGACTCTTTGCCTGCTCTTAGCTGTTCTGTCCTGGAATGGTCTGACTCGAATCTCACACATGGCTTGTTTTCTTTGTAATTTGTGACACACACATATCAGATGTGATTGTAGTGAAACTGTTTTTTGGGGGGTTTTTTTGTTTGTTTTTTTTTTCTTTCTTTTTTCTTCCCAGCTGATTAAAGGAGTTAAACAAGTATATTGTAGTAATGAGAAACATATCTTTACTGTTATAAATATCTATAAATATATATATAAGATGAAAAATCTATATATGTCCAGGTGTTTAAAGCCATTTGTGCTTCCATGTGAATTTTAGGAAATACTCAAGTAGGAAAAGAATATCTATATACATATATATATACACAAAGACATCCAAAAAGTTAACCAAATCCCAATGTTGAGTTTTTGAGCTGATTGTTAAATTCTCTGCTGTGTGCAGTTGGGTTATTGTATTACCCCAGACTTGTGGGTGAACTGTCTCAGTGCTGGTAGTAGCTGTGATGCAGTTTGTGATCTACCTGTCACTCTTGTTTATTGGATGAAATAAACTCTCATTTCTGTATAATGAAGGTCTCCACGACTAGAATAAAACCATCTCTCTTTCTCTGGGTGATTTTCAAGCTGTGTTTGATTATAACCTGATCTTTTCATCCCATAGAGTTTAACGAGCTGTACATGCCAAGCAGGTGCTGTCACTAATAGGGAAGGTGGAGAAGATCTGCAGCAACAGTGGTGTCCAGGAGCTGCAGTAGAGTGAAACAGCTTGTCAGGTGCAGAAGGTAAATCCCTTTGTAGGAGAAAATTTGTGGAGGTGCTTCAGGGGTGGGACATACAGAAGGTGGGAGTTTTGCACAGAGATTGCTTCTTGAAAAGCTCCTTCAGGGTTTTATTTATAGTAGCCACTGATGTGGGTTGAGTGAATAGACTCCATCTCTAGTGATTCCTTCCTGATTGTTCCATCTATAGGTATTGCTTGCCCTACCCTGTCCTCCTTTTTTTTCCCCCCTCACTGGACCCTGATCCATCTATCCCTGGTGTTACACATAGGGCTGTTACATAGTTTTGCCTTCAAAAATATTTTTTATTTATTCAAGTCAGAGCCTTATTTTGCAAAACTAGAAACCTCTAATCTGATTGTCAGGGGTCAAGTATGTCCTGATGAGAATACCAGCTACCCTGCCCAGGCAGGATAAATCCTATCCCCTGCTCTCCAGCCTCATCCAAAGTGTCCTTCTTCCAGTGTAGCAGCTATTTCCTGTTGTTTGGTGCTTGTGGCCTTTAAGAAGCATTTTTCTATTTCTTCTCAAATCAGAGGTGCAGAGCCAGTGCAGTTTCTCCAGTTTAAAGCTGTTGGGTGGCAGCTGAACAGTAGTTGCTGCTCTTGGTTCACTCCAAGCAAAGGTGAGGTCAGGGAAATGCTCCTGAAGGAAAAAAAGGTAAAAAATTAATCTGAAGCTGGGGTCTAGATGTGAAATGTTAGCCAAGAGAAACCTCTCAGCAGTCTGGCTACAGAAAACATTCATGAAAGCTTGTTACTGTCAGGGCAGGTGCTTCCAATAAAGAATTCATTCTTCACTTACCTTTTTCTGGCCTAATTTCAAGGTGATCTGTGCAGAAGAAATACATCTAGTCAGTGCCCCTCTGAATAAGTTTATTCAGAAAGCAAATTTGTAACAGGATTAAGTCACCTCTGCAACAGACCACAGACCTTCACTGGTCTTGTCTCCTTCACAGCACTAAACACCCAATAAGGATTTATTCCATTTACAATAATGCTCTGTATTAAATCACAACCCTTCCCCTATTAGTTATGATACAGATTTATGAGTAGCTGGAGCAGGCATGAACACTGCAACAGGCTTAGTCTCTCTTCAAAGAATATACAGCATTTTACACAGATACAGTATGTACACACCCCCACTGCTGGAGAGCCCAGTCACTTGTGCTATAACAGACTGACACCACTCCTGCCATTCAAATGGAGTTCAGAAACCTGCTTCCATCTTCCCCTGGGGGCTCACAGGAAAGCACTAAGTGTGCTCTTTTTTCAGTTGTATATGGAAATATTGAGATGGACCATTTGAAAAAAAAAAAAAAACAACCCCCACTTAATCTGCCTCTGGTAGTAGAAGAAAAGCTCTCTGTCACGCTGGTGTAAAGCTTCACCAGCTTGGACATAAAGAAATGAACAGTCTCTCCTGTTGAACAAACACAAAAATTGATTCTGTGTTCCTGTGTTTGCCTCTGTATCTCCACAGGTAACAGGAAGGTGGTGGGTGCTGCTTCAGGCACCAGCCCAGGCTCATGTTTGATCACACAGCTGGGCTGATCAGGTCCCTTAAACCTCATCTGTGCTTTCCCTTAGAACTCCATTGCTGAAACCAGCCCTCCTAAGAACAGGCAGTTCTTGCCTTAAGGCAAATTCAGTAGCAGGATATCCCCATGCAGTTCACTTCACCACTTCCACACCCAGATTTGTTCTGCTTCTGCTTCAGGGAGCTCTCTCCTCCCTCCATGTTTTGTTTTCTCCTCAGAATCAGGGCTGTGGCTTCAAGGCAGTGCCAGGTGCTGATGTGTCCCAGAAACTTACACTTGGGCCACAGGGTCTTGGTTTCCACCCCTCTACTGCTCTCCTTACCAAAATGGGAGAAGAGGAAAGCTCAGGGATGGAGAACTAGAACCCCTCAGAGTCCAGAAATTCAAAACGAAGCCATGTTTATTAAGTGGTTTCCTTTTACTTATTTCTCCCATTTCTTAAAATAAATAAAACCTTCAGACACATACAAGTGAAACACATCATCCTTCAAAGTGCAGTTACATTTCCACCCCACTCCCAAGAATCACATAAAGCTTTGTCAAGTAACCAAAAGCCCCCCAAGGCCCCCCTCAGTCCCTTCCCCTGGCAATGAGAACACACAGGGCTGGAGGTGCTGCCCCGGAGCCGCTCGCAGGGGGCTCAGAGACTGACGAGCCTGTTCCCAAATACAGGTGCAAGAGAGAGGCTGCAGCAGGAAGGGGGGAGTTTAAGATACGTAGTATGAAACAAACCCAACCTGTTAAAGAGTCCAAAGAGTCCATAACCAGAACAAGTTAGTTACTCTGGGAACCCTGGAAGGAACGAGGCTGCTGACAGTCATTAGTGACGGATCTGAACCGCGGCTCAGTCAGGGTTGTGGCAGCAGAGCCTGGGACAAGGGATTAAGTCATTTTGCCCAAAATCACGGACTCCTTTCCCCTCAGCCTGGACCTGGCCCAGGTGATGTGCCAGCACCAGCTGCCTCCCAGGATGAGTTAAGAGTCTGCCTGTACTCCAAGCACACCAAGTAACAGAAAAGAGAAAGAGAAGATGAGGTCTGATGCTTGAGTTCCATCTGATGCAATCTCTCTTTACTGATGTCTTTAGGAATCTGTTCTGACCAAGGGCACTGAGCAGAGGTATGGGCACATACAAGTCAGTGTTAAGTCCTTTCAGGCCCATGGAAAATTGCTGTCAGTCAGATTTAGCACCACTTAAACTACCATGATTTTGACCTCGTCGTTCTCATCAGCACGGTAGAAGAAGGGAATGCATGGGTTTTCGGGCAGGGAGCCCAGCCTCTCCTGAGGGTTCTGGATTTCTCTGAGAAGCTGCATTATCTGCTTTGCCGTGGGGTCCTCTTGGTTTGGCTGAGCAGCTTTACTGTCGATAGGGGGGAAACCGGATTGATGAAGAACAGCAGCCTCTTGTTCCGCCTCCTCTGACAGACTGACCTCTCGTAACCCTGTAAGGAACACAGACAGGGCAGGCAGGTAACTCCTCCCATCCTCACACAACACTGACTCCAAGGGCCATTCCATGCTCAGAGCTGGTCCTGTAGCTCACCTTCTCCGTCGGTGGCGTTGAGCTCGATGCGCCTCTCCGCTGGCAGCACAGCTCCCGCCTGGCTGCCCAACAGCTCCGGGTTCTGAGCAGCTGCTACGTACTTGCTGTACCACTCGTTTCTTTCCCTGACCAGGCGCATCACTAAATCCTGCAGTTCCAGTAGTTTCATCTGCACCAAAGGAAAGGAAAGCCCATGAAATGTTCACCCAACCCAAACACACCCCTGCAGTTTGCAGTCCTACCCCTGCCACAAATGGAACAGCGTGTGAAGGTTTGGACTGTGCAAGTGCTCCCTGGGCCCGCCCTGCTTGGAGCAGTACCACAGGAAAGATTCCTTGCCTTCATCTCTTCCTTATCCTGAGCCAACCTGCTGATATACTCCTCTTTCTCCTGGTGCCTCTGTTTGAGGATAGCCCTTTGACTCTGGTACAGTGCAATGTACTCCCCTGGAAGACAAGAGAAGAGTCAGGAGTGTCAGCAAGACTGAGGTACAAGTCTTATGGTGAGCACAGAGCTATGTGGCAATGAGGATATAGGAAACCCAGCCCTGGATTGGAGACCTAGCCCAGTTAGGCAGCAGTAGGAGACAGGAACTGCTTGGTAGTTGGAGGGCTCCAGTTCCAAAAGCTGTTGGGGACCTTCTGCTCCACATGTAACACACTGAACAAGCTTTAGCCTGTGCTGGTGCTGCCTGAACATACCAATGGTGTCTGTTTCCCCAGACAGTTGGATGCAGCGGTGTTCCAGCTCCTCCAGACGTTCCTTCAGATCAGCCTTCTCGTGCATCAGCTCTGTGAAACGCAACTGAACACAGAAACTGGGGTCAGTCACGTACAGACAACACCTGTGCTAAAGACAACACCCCCCTGACAGTGGTCTGAGCCTGGGGAACAAACCCTGCTCTTTACAGCTTGTCTCCAATCTCATGCTAAAAAGGAACAGAGATAGAGAAGGTGTGAAAAGGCATCTCTGCATGAAACAAGGTGTTTTTTACCTTCTCACTGCTGGGTAGCACAGCTCTGGTCATACTCAGCTTCCTGGACTGCAGACCACCTGCTTCACCCCAGCAGGGTGAAGAGTCTGTTTTCAGCTATTTCTTTAGGAAAAGACCACAGGTCAGTGTGGTCACTCCACAGCCTCTAGAGGTGGGAGAGCAGTTACTGCTGCAAGCTTTCCTGTGCTGAGACAGGCTGTGCTGAGCTTTTTAGGAAGGAGCTTCTTATTATGGAACATCTGCTACTTATTCCCCTACAATCTGTGTGCTGTGTTTGTCTGACACTGGATCCAAGTCTGGCTGAGCAGAGCAGCAGAGCTGAAACAATGTGAGATCCTTTGCTTTACCTGTAGCTTGTCCATGGCAGTTTTCAAAGCCTCGTGAACCTCCACTGGAACAGTATCCATAATGGAACCTGGAGGGGAAGTGTGCAAATTACAGTTCCTCCTAGGGCAGGATGCACTCACAGGCACAGTGAGTCTGTCTCAGAGCAGCCATAGCCAGCTGGCCCAGGCACAGCTCGTGGTCACACTGTCCCCAGACTGTGCCAAACTTTTACCTCCATCCATCGCGATGTGATGTTGCTGCTCCTGCCTGAGAGCTGTGATCTGCTGCAGGAGGGTCCTGCACTGCTGCTTCTGAGCAGCCAGCTGCTGCCTCAGGCCTTGTCTCTCCTGGTCCACTTGGGACATGGCAGAGGTCACGAAGGTGACCTAAGAAGAATTCCAGAGTGTGGACATTAGTGCTTCCCCTGTGTTCAGTGGGGTCAGTGGTGCATCTCAGGACAGAGTAACAGTTTGCCTCATTTTATTTATGGGTATGAAACCAAAGTACTGTGTGACTGTCCTGGAACTGAACCAGGCAGCAGCTACTGTATCTTCTCTCATTTGCAAACAGTACAAACATGCAGGTTAAATACTGGCTCCCATGATACCTCTTTGACTGCAGTATTGTGACTGTACTTGCAGAAAAATCTAGCAGATATTTGACACCATTTCCAAATTGCTTTCAAACTAAAGAGAACATCATCATTAAAGCCCCATTAAGGAGCTGCTGTGCCAGCTGAGTTGCCTTCATAAGGCAAGCCACTGCCAGACTTCCAGCCTGTTTTGCAAGGATGCTACAGAAGTCTTGGCTTCTTGCTGCTGTGCACAAGGAACTCCCCTCATGACTCCACTCAGCTGGTAGGATCACAGCTGATAAACGTCCTTTTCCGGACATTTCTTTAGAACTAAAACCAAAGGCTTTTATACCCATTAAGACTCACCATTTCTTCATGGCTTTCAAATTTCTCTGGGATCACAAATGAAGGTTTTTGGATTTCTTCATTCATTGCTTCATCGTCTTCTGTAAAAGGAGGAAGGTGAACAAGGAGGCAATACCCCAGAGAGTCCAGCTCTGCCTCCTCCCTGATGCAGCTACTCACCCTCCAGTTGGTGCAAAATCCTGCCATCCATTTCTGCTGCCAATTGACTGATCTGGGCCTGCAGCTCTTTGTTTTCCTTGGCTACAGCTTCCAGACTTTCCTGCAGGGGAGAAGTAGAAGATCACTGAAACTTAAGCCAGACTGCAAACAGTCACTATTCTTCAGATAGTAGCATCACATACAGACAACACAAAAAAAGTGCTTCTGCTCCAGACAAGCATCATTCACCTGTATGGCACAGGGTGTAATCACAGAACAGCCCATGGTGGAAGGGATTGCAAAACCAAACCGACTTTTCACTGAATATTTCACTTCTCCTCCCATCTTTCCACTTGCCCCCTTTTACTGTTACCTTGGTCTGCTGCAGCTCTTTCAGGTGCATTTCCACCGTGACCTTGCCCTGAACCTCCTCGTGCTGTAGCCGGTCCATGAGCTGTGTCTGGAGCAGGTACTGCTTGTGCAGCTCCTCCTTCTCAGCTGCAAGCTGCTGGAAGGCCAGGGTGTACTGCTGCAGGTGGCTGTAGCACTGGTCCCGCTGCTCCTGCAGGCCCCGGGCCTCCTGTGTCTTCAGCTCCAGCTGAGAGAACAAGATCAAACCACCACATCAAACCCTTTCTGCCAGAAACATGATCCAAGCTGTCAACATTGCCCCAAAGCCACCAACCAGGCAGGCAGCCACCATCTGCCCCCACATGCTGGTTGCCCACATCAGGCAGCAGACGACAGGGGAAGGCTCCCAGCTTGATCATTACAATGCCTGTTTCCATCCTTCCATCAACGTTTGGGAAGTTGCCAGCAGCTTGCACCGGCCCTGCCATCCCCCTGCTGGTGCTCACCGTCTCTTTGAGCTCCCCCAGGTTCTCCTGCAGCTGCCCAAGCTTCTTGGCCAGCTCCTTCTTTACATGTTGCTCTGACTGTAGGGCACTTGTAACCTCCATGTTTTCATTTGTCTGCAAGACAAACACCACTGTGGAAGGAAACTGCCCCAGCCACCATAAAACACAGGCTCTCAATAAACCATGTGCATTCCCAATACAGGGGGGTGCCATCCCTTGTGTTACTCTAGGCTGTAATTAAAGGCCATATATTGACTGTTCAGGACAGTAAATAACTTAAAGAAAGGATCAGAAGATGGGAGAAGAGCAAGGGAAGAGCCAGGGGAATCAGTGTTGGGACAGTGCCAAGAAGAGGCCTGGCACATCACGCAGCCTTGTCAGCTTCCAAGCAGATGGGTGGTATGAATATCCCAAACAGAGCCACAGACATTCAAAAACAAGTTCAGAAAGGACTAAAGAAAAAAATCAGCAGCCAGACCATGTGTCAGTCTGCCAAGGCCCCAAAGGGGAAGGTGTTATATTGAAAGAAGCAAAGCAAGAGTAAGGATTCAGCTCCAGGATGGGCAAGAATGACAGCAGCAAGAAAGACTGCTGAGAAATTCCTCATGGGCAAATACAGGAAGTGCATATCCAGTTAAAAGGGCAGGAGGAATAATCAGAGACAGAAACAGCCTGACTGCCAGGGGAGGAGAGGGAAAAGAGAAACTGCTCTGGATAAAGACATTGGTTTCACCTGTCCAGAGCACTAGAGGGAGTAAGGAATTACAGGGAACCTCTTGGCATGGTGTTAGAAGACAGAATCCATAGCATAACAGGACAAGAGAGGGATAAATGCTTCTGCCAAGTTTTTACACTACTAAAGGATTTCACCAGTGAGGGAAGCACTGGGAAAAGATGCACAAAAGAGACATACCAGTTTGACAAACCCATTCTGCAGCTCAGCCAGCTGCTCCTTCAGATCCCGGTTCTGGCTCAGTGCCCTGCTGATGGTGGCCTTGTCACTCTGCATGTCCTCCAGGATCTGCTGCCTGTCCACAGACTCCTCGTTGTAGCGCTGCACAGCCTTCTCCAGCTCCAGCAGCCGCTCCTCCTGCTCCTGGTTCAGATGGCTCAGCTGCTCATTGTCCCGGACCTGGGCCTGGTACTGCCCCTGCAGCTCCTCCTTCTCCTGCTGCAGCCTCTGGATCTCCTCCTGCAGGTTGAGCTCTGCTGCCGTGGGCCCCGGTGGGGAGGAAGGCTCCACATCCATGGGCTTCACTGCTGAGGAGATGGAATGACAAGCAGCTCAGTCACAGGGTAAATCCTGGGTAATACACATCCCTGTTGGGTACACAAGGCACACCCCAGCCTGTAGGGCTCTGTGACCCAGAAGGGATCACCAGCTGCAGTGTCCAGTCCTCGGTGCACAGCACTGAGAGAGGAACAAACCTACCCCAAAACCAAGCACAGCATCCTCCTGTCTGCTGAATCCCCCACAGCCCTAACAAGAGTATCCTGCCTTCCCAAACTCCTGGGCCAGAGAGGCCAACAGCACAGTCAGGCAGGTACTACAGACAGAATCAGGATGCTGGGCCATTCACTGCAGGAATTCCTTTGCTGTTTGCCAGGAGAAGAGGGTTCTAAGGGTCAGCTGGCCTCCAGCTGTCTTCACAGCTTCACACCCATGTGTGTGTGGAAGCACCTCCACAGCAGGACAGTTATCCAGCTGGCACTCTGCAGTGGGAAGCCTCACTTTGGAAGCCCTACCTGATGTGCTCATCAACTCTGTAATGTTGGCTTCCAGCTCCCGAATTTGGGCCATATGTTTCTCCTTCTCCTCTGCCATCGTGTGGACCTGCAAGGCCACACGAGTCAAAATTAGAACAACGTTCAGGGTGCATTTCCTGCAGCCTGTGTTTGTCCAGAGCAGTGTGACCCTGCCCCTGAGGTTACCTGCTCAGAGAGCTGCTGCACCCGCTGCTGCCAAATGCTCCCCTCCTCCTTCAGCTTCTCTACATACTGATCCCTTTCTGCCTGGAGCTGCTGAAGTGACTCTGAGAGCTGTTCAAGGCAAAATCAAACACAAAGAAAATCACATTGGCTGAATAAATTTGGCAGTGACTGCTTAAGGGATAAAGCTTGAAGAAAGCAAAGCTCAGGCTGCATTTTTCTGCCACACAAATTTCTTTACAGACATCAAGATCTGGGTTGTATTTCATACAACCTCTTACCTGAGCAACCTGGGCTTCCAGGCTCGCCTTCTCCTCCAGAGCCATCTGCAGCTGCTGGTTTGCATCCAGACTCCCTGTCTGGCTTGAGAACTGTCAATTAAAATCAGAAATTTGAGGCAAAATGTTAATACTCAGTTCCTGCATAGCCTTTCCCCTGACAGTAACCTGCCACACGATCCACATTGTAACCTTCTATAGTTCTCTAAAGTGCTCCAACTCACAGTGAAGTTCAATGTGAAGAAAAAAAAAGGGGATTAAAATTTTTAAAGCTTAAGATATTAATCCTGTAAAACAGGCTGAACTGGGCAGCTCCTCCCTACCAATTTTACACTTACTGATTTTTTTTTTAATTAAGAAAATAGGACTTAATCAAACTTTGGCTCAGAAACTCTGCATTTCCAGAGTCTGCATTACACAGCCAGATCAGATGGTATAAAAGTCTGTGGCCTTAAAAGTTGTCAAACATGTCAGGAATTTAAAGCCAATGTCTGGAACATGTCAGTGGACTAAGCAGCAAGGCTGATTCAGTTGAGGCACAGTACTTTTCCCAGAAGAGCAGCAGTTGGCTTTCTTTCAAGGGTAACTTAAGCCACTGTCTAGGAGTAAAAAAAAAAGAGCATTTTCTTCCGTCTCAGGCCCAGGGTAACACCAGGCTTGCTCTCTGACCTGCTAACAGCTTGCTCCATGCAGTCCCTTTCTAACTGGCTGCTTCTCCTAACTTTCCCCAGCTGACTTCCAAGCTGCCACTGTCCAATCCAGCTTCTTCTGCTTGGGTGGGTACAAACACCACCCCCTACTCAGCTGGTTACTCAGTGAGACTGCACAGCTGAGTAACCAAAGTGCTGAGCAGATACAAGCTGAAAAGTCACCATATTTCCTCACTTGGTATGTTCAGTCGCCCCCTCACATGTACAACGCTCTTTTAGCAGACCAATGTCACAATATTTTTAAATCCACTGCTCTAACTCCTTAGATTACAAACTTTCTGCTCCTCCAAGGCCTCACTGAAAGGATGTCTTGATGAGTTTTTATGCCTTCCTTTAAAGCCAAGAGTTGTCTTGCCCCCTCTCTCAGAAGGAAGTCTGACAATGATCAGTGTGATCTGTCCTCACCTGTTGAATCATCAGTTCAGCCATTTCCAGTTTCTTCTGCAAGTCTTCCACATCCAACTTCATAGCTGAGTTCTTGGACACCAGGGAATGAACTTTCTCTGACAGCTCCGAATTCTGCTGCTTTATTTCCTCACTACTTTTGCTGAAACAAACAAAAAATTAAAATGGCACCACTGCATGTACTCTGGGTCTGCTGATGTCCAGGTCATAAATCTACAGTTCAGTGCTTCTTGGCAGCTAGAATCACAGAAATGTCACATCTAGTGGCTATTTTTTTTGTAATTAAATATCCAACCTCCCAAGTCACCACCTGTGGTCTGTGCCCCTTGTTATGTTTTGGGGCTCTCTGAGAAGAGTGTTACTGCAGTAATGAGCAGAAGGGACTTACCTTCGTTTGTACAGTTCCATTTTCAGGTTGTCTCGCTCCTTCACTAGCTCTTTATTATGCTGGAGAAAAAAGAAACTATTGATGCATCTACAGACTTTACCAAACAAAAGAAGTTTAAAAAGTACTTCATTTCACCTTTAACAGATCAGCTAAACCAGAAAAGGTCATAACTTTAGCAAAAACCTCAGGACCAGTTTGCTTAGAACCACCTGAATTTGCCAGGAATAAGTGTGCTCAGTCTCTTTAAATGTGATGCTACGAATGGAACAAGGTTATTTCTGCAAACTTCTGGATTAGTATCAATACTGAAGTGTGTGTTTGATGGAGAATTCTGGGACAAGGTCTCTCTGTTGTGTGAAGCTGCCAGACTAATGAAGTGAGGTGTCATATCTGAAGACAGCAACTGGACCATATGATTAGTGGTCACAGAAACCTGAGTGAAGTTTGCCTTGATCATGGAGAATACAGGGCTTTACAAGGTTAATTAATAATTAACAGGGTTAATTTCTGCCTCTTCTCTAAGCAGGGACTACAGGCTTTGCAGTGGTGTAGTAATAAGCAAACAGCCAAAGGCAGAGCTGCTGGTTAAGCACAAACAGAGGTGACTCTTACCTTCTCTGACTGTTTTTGCTGCATGGAGATGGAGGACAAGGTGCGTTCCAGCTCCGACACCCGCTGGCGAGATGAATGTAAACGGGCAGCGAGGCTTTCAGCTTCCCCTGCACAAGTCAGAGCACAGGCAGTCACAGCTACACCACAAAGAGCTTTTTGGAACTGGCTGAACAGCACTTTCTACTTTGTCAACAAGCTCTTCAGGCAGCACAGAGCTTTGTGTATCAGCAGAACTGGTTCCTGGCTCTACAGGTGATTCACTAGCAGCTCTGGAAGCAAAGCTCTCTGTAACTACCTGCCTCACTTTTAGAGGGAGATGATGAAACTTCCTTTGCAGAACAACAGACAATATTTGTTTGGGGGATTTTTTCCTATTAGAATAAATTGCTCAAATGTAGTTCAGAATAAAAGGGTTTGGGTAAAACCTACATTAACATGACAGCTGTGTGGGAGGGAGGGCGGAGGACAGGAACAAAGTTTTAGAAGAATCAGAAAAGAACAGTCTGGGGTAGTCACCAGGCCCAACAGAGCTGACAAGGCTTTAGTGATGCACAAAAGAACCTCAACTGCCATGGGACCAACATGCTCCCATTTGGATGATGACAGCAGCAGTGCCAGTGCCAAATCCTGCTCACTGAGGAGTCAGGGAGTGCTGTGAGCTGGCTGCCAGCAACTGTCATGCCTGTGACTTGAAACCCACAGTGTAACCACCAGCTTGGGCTGCAGTGCTCACAGTCACTCACCTGACTTCTGCCGTGCAGCCTGCTGAGTGTGTCCAAGGGCTGTCTGCAGCTCAGACTTCTCAGACACGAGAATTCCAATAGTCTGGATGTGAACCTTTGGGAAAGCAAAACCGGCTCAGCGCAAAACTTCTTTGCTTGTCACTGCAATCCCACTGTTGCCACAAAAGGGTAATTCAGTAAAGGGCTCCTGCAGTTAAGTACAGTCTGGCTGACCAACACTCTCGGTCTTCCTGAAGGAATGGACTCATGGCTTCCTTCCATGTTAAAGACTGAGTGGTCACTAATCAGAAAACTGCAGAAGCCAGGTGACATTACTGTAATGGAGGCTCTGCCTTACCTGTAGCTGTTCCCTCAGGGCTGCTTGCTCTTTAGAAAATTTCTGTTCAAACTCCTTCTTTTCCTGTAGAAACAAATTATGCTTATTCAGCACAAATAGGCAACTAGTTAACCCCTGTTGTTTTATGTCACACTAGAAAAGTAGGGATTCATTGGCAGTATCTCTAGCATGTAAATGATACCAGTATTTTTAAAGACACAGTTCATCTTCCATTAGTTGAGCTTCTTAAATCATTTTTCCATCCCAGAACAGCAGTGACAGCACAGCACAATCACTGCAGCACAAACGTGGCAGTGTTGGAATGGAAGCTCCTGGCAAGAACCTAAACTGTAACCTCCTGCTCCCACTGCACTCCTCCAACTTGAGTATTTAAATATTAGCTTTGGTCAAAATAAGAACCCTGCCTGCTGAGACAAATAGTGAACTCAAAATACTCAACCTGATGCTACAAATCAAACTGAATCTAACATGAGACAAGATCACACACTCCTGTGCCACAGTCCAGGACTCTTTATACTCCTTAGAGACACAGATACCTATTTCTGTATCTATGTATCCAAAAATAGGACACACTTTACCTTCTCCAGCTGATTCATTGCTTCTTGGTTCTGCTGTTTCTACGGAAGAAAATTGATGCACCAATATTAAGAGAAAATATTCTCATACTGATGAAACATTTTCACTTTGACAAATTAGGATAATACACCCAATTAATGCAAAAAGAATTTCCATTTCTGTAGAAGACCAGGAAGTTGATCTCAGCTATTAAAAGTAAGAGATTTGGGGTTCCCTTCATTAATACACTTGATATCTTTTTCATTGCTCAGTACATTATGACAGTTCTTCTCCAGTATCTCTGTTGAAATCCCTGTATGTTCCTATCTGAGCATCCAACAACTTCAGTTAAACTTGCAATATCCCACATCTGTGCAATTAATCATAGTCATCCTGGTGTATTGGGACAATCACCAAAAACACTTTAAATAAAAAATAAATGGTCTTTTCCTTTAAATAATTCTCTAGACCTTTATCCCAGTTAACAACTGGCCTCTAAGTCATGCAGAGCTGCACGTACATTGGCAGGCTCCCACCAAGGTGGTATGAGAGAGAGCTGGAGCCAGATGCAAGGAAAGGGATAATTCTGTCCCAGCCAATTTCAATCTTATGGGTGAAGAACTGGAGATGTGTGACTGCACATGGTGCATCTGTGTAGGTATGGAGTGAAGGAGACAAAAGTGGCAGCTACCAAACCCTGCAGCTGTTTGCCCTTTGCTGCTCTTGTCCCCCTGGCAGTTTTCTCACAGATGCCTCATAAGTAACTAAATAATTAGTATTTTTTCCCCCTCCCCAAATAATGAGTATTGGCCAAGCTGTTTCTTTCTACCACTACTTCCTTCAGTGCATTTCGAAACATGACTACAGATGGAGGGGGGATGAGATTTTGATTTAGCAATGCCAGCACACAACATAACCAGGAAAAGCAAAGGCAAGAGCACAAATGCAGCAAAGGCCCTATAGAGCTCCAGGCAAATAGAAAAGCTGGCAAACAAGGAGAATCCTGGGTGGGCAATGCACTATACCTCTGCAGCCCAGCTAAAACACAAAAAGAAACAGAATGGAACAAAAATAACCCAAAACCAAAAATAAAACAAAAAGAGGGGTCATGGGGTACACTGGGAAATGATGAACTTTGGGAAAAGCCTAGTTTTAGGGAGGAACAAAATGGGGAAAAGTATTTCACACAAGAAAGGCTCTTTCCAGCCTGAAACAGGTCCACTTAGCTGCATTTCTTGCAGTGTTAAAGCTGAAGGCTGAAAGGCAGCAGCAGGAATCCATGCAGGCCACAGGACAAAGCAGTTCATTCATTGTGCCAAGAAAAGCTGAGGATATGATCAGAAAACAGCCCCAGGCTCTCTTGGACCTATTGCTCCCACTCTGCTGATAAATTTAGAACAGCATCACCACCTGCAGAAACAGGTTTTCACGCTGCTGCCAGCACCAGAACTATGTATTTCAAGGATTCAGACCAGGACCAGAAATAGCTGTTTTATCAGGATGCTTATCATCCAGGGACAGCATGAGGAGATCAACAGAGCCCACTTAAATGGAAACAGCAAAATTCTGTCTGTGCTTCCTCCCGTGAGCCAACACACTCACGAGTGGCCCTAGGCTTTGATCCTCCTCCCAGGTTTTCCATACAGCCCATTTTGTTCCTTACAAAGTGCTGTGTGAGCAGCCTTCCTTGTGGCACTGTGAGGGAACCTGTAGCCTTGCAGACACCCAGAGAGCGTGGAGGAGCAGCAAAGACAATGTCAAACTGGTTGGTTGGATTGTTTCTTACCAATTCCTCTATCTCTGTAACGAGCTGTTTGTTAGTTAGATTGCTGGAATCCAGGGCTACTGCCAGCTCCTGGTAACGTGTCTGACGGGCACATGCATTCAGGAGAAAAAGGAAGGAGCAGAAGAGGAGGAGGGGGGGAAAAAAGCAATAATTAAAAAGGACAGAAAAATAAATCATTATCACAGTTTGATATAATCAGATTCTCCAAACAAAACAAAATCTGTGGTTTCAACAAAAGCAGCTGGGATGTCAACCTATTTTATCCGTTTCTGCTGAGGCTTCATTTTGACATAAAAGTGAATCAGAAATAAGAACTGCAGTTGCATGAAAGCCAGATTATCCCCAGTCCCCAAACTGGGAGCACCTTGTATACCTGCCTCTGACCGTTGTGACCACAACTACCCAAGCACCAGGTGACACTAGACAGTGATGGATGTGACCTGTGCATTCTGTTAGGCCTCACTAACACTGCTGGAAGCACAGAGTCCCAACAAGGGATCAACAGCAGCAAATAATAAGAAAAAAAACATGGCAGACTGAGAACAACTTACTTCCATTTCCTTAATATTTGTGGAAGAAACAGCACTTTCTCCATTCACATACGACGTAGACTAGAAGTAAATCAGTGAAGTAAGTCAGTTTTTGTCCCCAAGGCAACAAATCACTATTAAGTAAGAACCTACTATAACAATAACACTCCTTATAGCACCTGTCACTTCAACCAACCACACACAGGCAGAGGAAACACTTTTCTGGCTCAGGATAGACCCTGGCTGCCCCTATTGACAAGCTGATTTGAATTATGCAGATTGAATTCAGATTCTTTTCCACTAAATCAAGAGTACATCTTCCCATGAATATATGCAATTCATTCATCCCACTCTGCTTTTCTTCCTACTGCTGAAATCCTACATTCCTAAAACAGGATTTTTTTGCTTTTCAATGCTTAAATATCATATGGTTTAGTAGGATGGCTGCAGACATCTCTGAGATTGGAGGGTGTTTCCTTGAGCTGGCTGCTTAAAGCTCCACATCAAACACCAGGAGAATTAATGCAACAAATGGATGAAAAGGAGGTCATACCTGGGAAACCAGGCCATTGAGTTGTTCAGACAACTGGCGGAGACTTTCTGTTGATGAGAAAGACCTGGGAACAAAGACCTCACAATGAAAACCTCTCCCAGGGAACTGTCCAAATCAGCACAGCACTGGGCAGGAATAAAACCTTAATTTGTTGGGGTCCTGCTGCAAAGCCAACACAGGCACTCACCTGTTCTCATCCAGAGCATTTTTATGATCCCCAGCTTCGTGAATCTGTGGATTGAAACACAAAAATTTACAAGCCTGCAAAAGAAGATGGGAGTCACATTTATGAATGTGTCATGAACACTTGATTACACCTGGGCTCAGGTTCCACAGCTCCTGTAATTACTGTTTCCAAAAGGAAGATGAACTGAAAATCACCAACCCATTCCTGGCTTACACATCTTTTCTGGGTAGTGTGAGTCTGGGTTTCTTGGAATAGAGAAACTCAAGTGTCACAGGCTTTATGTTTGCTGTTACTACTCATCAGTATAATCAACACTTTGCTGGAAAAACCTTCAACTGAATCACAGATTGCTCTGACTGGAGACCTTCTGTACTTTTTGATAATGAACAGGAGAGAAAGGGAAGGAAAACAGCTTTGGAAGCTGCAGAGACACATCCTCTCTCTGCTCTCACAGACACATTGTGACTGGATGAAGAGTGGAGAACAGAGTACTTTCAATAGGAGAAAACCTGAACTACTCATGGCATATTTATGAAGATCATCTTTCTCCACACAAAGGTGGCATCAGTAACCAATGTTCAAGGGTTCAATGGCAATATTGATGATAATTCACAAACCTGTGTCAGCTGCATGCTCTCAGGAGCAGGCAGAACAGAACCACAACTAGGGAGGCTGTTGCTGTTAGAGAGCACAGGGACATCGGGAGCAAGCGGCTCAGCACTACGAGTGGCAACATCACTGTCAAAGTATGCCTGTCACAAAACACAGCACAGGATTACAGCCTCCATGCAAAGTGGACAAAAACACACACACACAAACACATCACCTTGTGACCCGCCTGTGAAAACCAGACAGATGTGAACAATCAATTGTTTAGGAACATGTGGAAGGGAACCTGTGTTCTCCCCAGAGCAAGCAGGTGACTGTAACCATGGACAAACAGTGTTCCAGAGCTGTGCCCTCTCATGTCCCATAGTCCAATTCCCTTCTTTAACACAGGGCAATAATGTCACCCAGCTGTAAGTTCACACATGAGATTCACTGCAAAAGATTCACCAGTAAGCAAGTGAGGGCAAAGCCAGATGTCACTGTGCTTTGAAAAACACCACCTTAGAGCTGTGCCTGGGGAAAACACAGGTCACTGGATGCAAATGAAGATGGAAATGAACAGGTTAGTGACTACTTGAGAACTGGGCTAGTCAAACTCAAGTGCTCCATCTAAAACTCAGTGAAATCTGTGGCATGCCATGAACCCCCAGTTTAGAAACAGGACATTTATGAACAGGCCAAAGGGAGGTGGCTGGGAGCAGGTGCCCGTGGCCCTGCTGCAACTATGGATCCCATGACTAGAAGAAAAGAGAAGGGCCAAAACACTATTTCTGGACAGCAATGCAAGTTCCCATCCAGCCCTTGTGGGAGGATGAATGGCATCTGATGCCCCCTCTACCAAGCCACAGTAAACTGGACCATTTAATCTCTTGCACAGCATTCCAGAGCCATAACAGCCCAGCAGTGCTCTCATGTTTTATGGCAATTTGTTTGATTTCATCATCCATCTCCAGTAATTCATCACTTAAAAACAGCACAAAACAGATGAGATAATCTTTCAACATTCAACCACACCAATACACTGCAGCTCTCTGCCAATTCCACCTGGAAAAGTTCCCTCTTATTTCAGTCACTTCCTTCGTGGCATTCACAGGAAACAAGAAATCTCCCTCTCTTGGCATTCCCTGTTTACCTGCTCAGCACTTCACTCATGAATCCAGCAGCAAGGTTAATACAGCAACAGTGAAGACAGATTTAATGAAAACAGTAAGCTGGAAGACTGCAGAGGGAAACAGAATTTTCTGCATTTCTTTTTAGCAGGACAAATACTTGTGCCCTCAAGGAGCAATATATGTTAGGTGCTTATAGGAAGGTGAGGAACTCCCTCACTTCTTCCAGCTAAAGGTTACTTCACCTTCATCAGTCAGATATTCACCAATATAAACATCAGAGGGACAGGAGGAATTCCTTCCCCAGCACATCTCAAAAATTTTTCCTTAATTTCTTCTGATCAGGACATTCTTTTAGCTCAATGCTTCAAGATGCAAAAACCAGTAACGTGCCTTAACCACAAGAACTCCTTCCTTCTGCCCTCACAATGAGCAGTTTTGAAATAAACTTTCAAAAAAAAACCCCAAACTATTTGAAGAACTGAATTTGTTGGAAACTGAAAGCATTAGGAGCAAAAGATTTATATGGAAATTATGCATTGTGAGCTTCCAATTATATAGAATAAAAAGTAATTCTGCTCAGCTTAGCATATAGTAGGGTCTGTTTGCTTTCACACAAAGGCCCCTATTTTGCTGTTTTTTCTGTGTTTCAGAGCCAAGAAGGCTGAAGTGGGTGAGAAGGGAGGGCTCTGCCTCACATCAGACACCAATGGCAGCAGCAGCTCAGCTGCCAGCAATCAGCTTTTCTGCCCTATTAGCATCCAGCTTCTGAACAGCATTTTCCTGACTCAGGGCTTTTACAAGACAGCAACTGGAAAGAGAAACCTTTCTTTCCATATATATTGCAATTAAAGATTAGTTTTCAAATTATTCCTAAAACCTCAGGCACAACAAACCACAAATTCCATAACAGCCAATCAGATCTCTAAGGAAAAGAGAAAAAAACAGAGGGAAAACAAGAATGAACAGAGTAATGAATTCTCCATTTGCAGAACAGGACTAAAGCTGGAGACACAGGTAGGCCTTCACTGCAAGGCCAAACATCACCTCAGCAACAGCCCTGGACCACCCATCTTCATCACAGCCTCCAATGTGAAACAAGTCTCTTTCTCTGAGATTTAAATTACACTGAGCTTATTAGGGTTAACTGAAAATAGTCCCAGGACAAGAATGACACTTCAGTCACAACACAGGTTTTCTGAGGCTGGACAGGCACACCCAGCACCCCAAAGCTGGCAGTGTGTCCTCACAACACTCAAGTTCTACTGATACAGAACCTACATGGTCCAGCTGGAGGAACTCTGTGTTGGACGGAACAATGCTGTATTATCACATCAAAAAAAAGAAGAAAAAGGACACAAAGGCAATTTAGAGTGAACTCCAGTCCATCTTGCAGGTTTCACTGCATCTATCAGGTACCCCATGTGATTACTGTAGTTATATTTATTGCTGGAGACCCATGGATATGCAGTAAATACAATAACGACTTACTTAATGACAACTACATTGAAACAACGCTGCCAAAATGATGCAAGTGAAAATTAAAAGCAGGGCTTTGGTACAACAAAATTGGAAGAACACTGTGGCCTACAAAATTTGACTTCCCTGAGTTGCTATCACAATTTGAGCCTCATTTAAACAAGCGGACTGTCTGAAAACTAGTATTATTAAAAGTATTTTTAAAAAGCTGTTTGTTCATGTTTGCTTCTGAACATGTTTCTATCCCTTCTTGGCACACTTCCTGCCCTTTCCTCTTCCAGATCTTGGGAATGTGAATACAGTAAAGCCTGTACGTGCTTGGCTTTGAAGTATCTGACTTCCTGCCCAAGCATATTTAAACCCACAGCACTTGCCAGACTGTACATCACCTGTGCCAGTTCCATTGCCTGTCATAACATGGGTGGCTGGAATAACCTGACAGGGCAGCTCCCTGCCTGGAGATGAGCAGAAACGTGCCCTTCAGAAACCAGGCTCCAGGAGACAAAGCAATGACACTCAGAGCAGGAGAAATACAGGCTAAGAAAGCACTACCTCTTCCTGTTTTCCTCAAAGCTCAGCTGTCTCAAGGAAGACCTTCTGACAAGGTTCACTTTTCCACGTGTTACGTTTGACACAAACCAGGAGGAAACAAGCACAGTGGAAACACAAAGAGCTCCAGGTTAATAAAAACAGCAACAGAACTGAAGCAACTGACAATGGATGTGTGAGGACAAGGCTCCACCCCGAAGGTGGAGGTCAGTGTGGACAGAACCCGAAGCATGCGGGAGGGACAGCGAGTCACTGCGAGGGACACGAGCACTGCCTCACCTTCCTCTTGTCCAATGAGGGTATGGCTACCCCATTGGAGCGGTTAAGGTCTGACACCAGCACCTTCAGAATGTTCTGAATCTACAGGAGGCGAAAGAAAAGGGGAAAGAGAAACGGCTCAGAGAAGGACAGGGAGGAAACGTCAATCAAAGGCAGCCAAAGAACCAGCCTCGTCCAGAGCAAACCCCTCAAAACAGCAGCTCTGGGCACGCACAGGGCACGGTCACCACCACTTTGGACAGATCCCAGATCCAGCTGCACCTTCCACCACTGGAAGGTTGGCAGCTGCCAACTACTGTAGGACACTTCATACAGAATCTACACCACTCAGCTCTTACACCAGCACAGCCACTTCCCAGCTCCGCTCAGGTTGTCCAGAAAGCCAAAGAGCGGGGAGGTGGGAAGTGATCTAGGAGAAAGAATGAGGCACTCACGTTCTCTGGAGGCTGCTGGTCATCGGTGGTGGGAGTGGCGGGTCTGCTGCCTTCTTTAGTTTTACGTTTTTTCTTAGTTCCTGCAGTTGCTCCAGGGCTGTTCTTCTGCTGATATTCCTTCAGCTGTGAACAGAAGAAGAGTCTGAAGTCCAAAAAAACATGCCTTCTATAATGTCAACAAAACCCCAAAACTTAACTCTATTGGCTAATAATACAGATCAAGTGCAAGGACAAGTGAAATGTTTTTCGGTGAGTTTTCCCCTCTGGGAAAAAAAATCAAAACAAACCCAGAGAAGGATAAAGTAAGACCTAAAGTGACAGGTTTATGACAAGAACATTAGAGCTGTAAAACTTTTGTTTACAGCTAATGCTATTCTTGGGAAAAAAAATGATACTCCACAGTGCAACTATAAGGAGATTAAAAGCACTATTTTTGGGTCTTTTTAGTGTTATAACTAAGAGCAATAAGGCAAAATTAATAAAAGGCAATTAATCCTGCATGCAAAGCGAAAAGGCACTGCCTGACAGTAAGATCCGCTGCTGCACGGAACATTTTATGAAGGAAGACTGCAATCCCCACAGGCAGGCACTGCAACAACTAAGGGGAGAAATAATCTGCAAATGATTTTTTAATCACAGCTACTTGGCCCAGGACGTGCCGGTCTGATAAGCTGTAACTCGAGTCCCGGCAGCGTTTCTGTGCAATTCTTGCGCACCTGAGCCCCGAACGGGCCGGTCCCGGGGTTATCGATGTAAACACCGGGCAGGGCACGGCGGGGCAGCGGGGGACGGGGCAGGACGGAGGAGGATCCCACCACTGGGAGCGTTTCAAAATGGAAGCCTGAACTGCTCCAGGACACTTTACCAGAACACACACACACGTTCCTGTGACTTTGACACGGCCGGGCCGCCCCGAGGGAAAAAAATATGGGAAAAAAAACATGAAAAAAATAATTTAAAAAGGAGGCGGGGGGAGGGAGGAGAGGGGACACGGGACTCCCGCACAGCCCCGCGGCCGCCCAGGCCCGGCCTCGCCCCGACCGCCCGCCGGGAAAGCCGGGCTGCAGCCCCAACACCCGCTGGCTCCCGCGGCCCGGCCCGGAGCGAGGGGGCGGCGGCCCGGCCCGCGCCCCTCCGGGGAGGCCGCGCTCGGCCCGGCCCGGCCCGGCCCTACCGGGGCTCCGACCCGCGCGAAGCCCGCGCAACGCGGCCGCCCCAGCCCTGCCGTGTGGTGCGGTGACACGTCGTGTCCTGCCCCGTCCCCCCGCGGTCCCTCACCTTCTTCTTGGCCGCAGCCAACCGGCTCTGCCTGCTGCCGTCCGCCATGTCCGCCCCGCGCCCGGGCCACGTCAGCCCGGCGGGAGCGGCGGGGGCGGTGGCGGCTCCGCCCCCGGGCCGGCCCCGCTCCGCCCCGGGACACCCGCGGTGACACCCGGGACACCCCGCGGTGACACCCTCACAACGCGGGACGCCCCACGGTGACACCCCTTCTCCGGGACACCCTCGCTGGTGTGACACCCTCCGCCCTGGAGACACCCAGGGCCGCCGTGTGACACCCGGCGCTGTCCCGCTGCTGCAGTGCCCCGATAACACCGAGCGAACGCCGGGAGGAGCCGGGCCGGGTCAGCCCCTGCGATGCGCAGGCGCTAGTACAAAGTTCAACCAACGGTGATGAGAGGAAGACCTACCGCCTTCATCCCAAGACCACCTAAAAAAGAAGAACCCACCCCCTAGCAACAGGACGGAGTCTGCGTAGAAAGAACTAACGACGTCTAAAACAAGGAGGAACCTACTGAAAAGGAGGAAATGACAAAATATATATATAAGGCGGACTCTTAACTCTCTAAACTCGCGGACTGTTGGCGGGGCGGAGACTCCCCGGCCGCCCAGCGCTGCTTTGCTCATTTTTCATAAATAAATTTTATCTAAAATTTGAAAGATTTTTGGTCTCTTTGACTATGACAGGGACAATTGTGCCCTGCCACATCTAATGTCACCTGCAGCCGGGCCGTGACAGGGGACTACAACTCCCGGCGTGCTCCTCGGCAGCAGGACTACAGTTCCCGGCGTGCCCCGCGGCGCCACCCGCGCCCGTGAGGCGGGAGGCGCGAACCCGGAGCCCTCAGCGCGGAGCCCTCAGCGCTGGCCGAGCGGGTCCCGCCGAGCACCGGCCGCAGCCCGCCTCGCCACCCGCCGGCCCTGCCCAGGAGGTAGGAGCCGGTTCCCCGCTGCCCCCTCGCCTCCCCTACCGGGCCGCGTCCCCGCCGAGGCGGCGGTGCCCGGCCCCTGACGCGGCTCCTTCTGCTTTGCCAGGGCCTCGGGCGGCGGCCGGCGGAGCGGCACGGCCGGGTTCAGGGCGCCGGTGAGTCCGCGCCGGGCCGGGGGCGGTGGGTCCTCTGTCCTCTCCCCACGGCGGCCGCTCGCACGGCCCCGCGCAGCGGGGAGTGTTTTTCCTTGGAGGGAGGAATCGCTCGTTCCCGGAGTTAGTGCCGGCCCCGCAGTTTAGCGCCCCTCCTGGGAGCTTGTAAAAACCAAATTTTGATTTTTTATTTTCACTTCGCGCTGTAAATCTCCGGAGTGCTGTAGGATGTGATATAGAGCAGCCTAATGCTACACAGACTGATCCCTCTCTTACTTAAGCTCCCCCCTCCCTGCCCAGGGGATATTTGTTTTTCCTTTTTTTCTCCTATTTTATCCAGCGGCACACACACTATTTTCCCATTACTGCCCACAGCACTGTAGTGTCTTATCCAGGGCTGAGTTGCTCTTAAATGTCTTCTGTGCTCTACAGGTCCCATCTTCAAGCTCCTTCCAACCTAATGGAGCCAGCGAAGCAGCCCTGAGGTGTGAAATTGAAGAGCTGAAAAGGAAAGACCTTGCTCTAGACCAGGAAATTGCACAATTATTGTCCGAGTATGTCCTTGGCAATTGTTCACTGTGTTGCCTGAATTATCTTTGTTTTTAAAACAGGAATTGGAGCTGAGAGCTGACCTTGTATGATGACACTGTTGTTATGGTGCAGTGTTGGTTCCAGTGTTGTTGTGAGTGATGGAACCTGAGGGAATTCTTTCCAGTTTATTTAGTAAAGCAAAGCATGTTTTACTAGGACCTTGCATAAGAGGATTTTAGCTTTATCCTGTATGTTCCTGAGGTAATTACATGTTAACTGGGAACAGATAATTTCAGCCATTTGTTGTTTGTTGTGAAGGAGTGATATTTTCCAAGATAAGTATAGTGCATAGGATAGAAATGGTAGAACAACAAAGGCTGTTGCAAAACCCTTTTTGGTTTATCCTTAAGGGTAAACAGACCTTTTAGTGACAGGACAAGAGGAAATGGCCTCAAGCTGTGCCGGGGAAGGTTCAGGTTGGACATCAGGAAGAATTTCTTCACTGAAGGGATTGTCAGGCATTGGAAGGGGCTGCCCAGGGAGGTGGTGGAGTCACCATCCCCAGAGGTGTTCAAGAGATGACTGAACGTGGCACTCAGTGCTCCAGTCTAGTTAATATGGTGGTGTTTGGTCAAAGGTTGGACTTGATCTCGGAGGTATTTTCCAACCTTAATGATTCAGTGATTGTATGATTCGTTATTTTTTTTCCCTACCTAGAGATTAGAGATACATATAGATGGAACTCACCACAGCCTTCTCCTGTTTCTACTTGATTCTGAGAACTTGAGTGAATTGTCTTGATGTGGCAAAAAAAACCCCTCAAAATAAGGATCTGCTCGTTTGGAGCTTTGATGTTTATGACTTGCAGCAGCTGCACTTGCTGCCTTCAGTTTCTGCTTTTGAGGTGCCAGGCTTTGGTGTCTCCCACAGCAGCAGGAACCCCCAGTCCCTCTGTGCCATTTGTGACCTTTCTGGTGTTATCTTACAGAGGCTACAGCCTGGAGGAACTGGAGAAGCACATCTCTCTGCTCCATGAGTACAATGAAATCAAAGATGCTGGGCAGATGCTGCTGGGCAAGCTGGGTAAGGAAGGGGAAAGCTGTTGGAGAACTCCTTAGTTGGTGTTTTCATACAGACACAGAGAGAAGCTGCTGCACCACGGAGGGAGAGCTTGTGTTACAGACTCTTCACTTCTAGGCTTGTATTACTCAATCATTGTGCAAGCACAAATGCTTCTGTTGTTGTTTTCTTGGAGTGTTTTCAGGAGTGAACATTGTTATTTACCAGTATTTTAGTCTCTGCTATGGATTACCAATTTTTGTCAGTTTTCTTCTTCATATGCTTAAAAAAAAAAGCAAAGTGTTGAGACAAGCAGGCAGCACAGCTGCAAAACCTTGGGTTGGTTTCTTGGCTGTGGGAGGTTGTGTGGGGTAGTTAGGGCAGGAAAGCACAACTTCTCTTACTGATCTGATCTATTTTTAATAAAAGCAATGGTATTTTTCTTCCTAGCTGTTATCCGAGGGGTCACTACAAAACAGCTGTACCCTGAATATGACCTGGAGCTCAGTGACTAGACCCTGGTGGCTGCCATGTCCTGCTCAAGTGACTGTCACTGGGCACACGTGTTGGTGTCATCCTGGTTTGGAACTGGCAGAAGGTGCCCTCTGAAGGATTTTTAATTTAAATGTAGCATTGCCACAGGTGTGGTTTAACAGGCTTGTTCCTAAGTAAGAATCTTTGGAACATGAAAGTTGTTGAATCTATCAACTGTTTTCTGCTGTTGGGAAAGGGATGTAGGACTTGGGTAATTTCATCTACTACCTGATCAACGAGATTTTTGGTTTTTTAATTGGTAAGGTTGTAACTCAGGTTGATGTTGAGACCCTTCCTATGAAGCTTTTGTTTCCCTGCAACATCCTGGGGCTGTTGGGTTACTGAGTGGATAGAGGAAGTGAGGACATACAAATGTCCAATGTAATAGCTGCTTTGAAAGGAAAACCCTCAGAAGCACGGAGGGAGGGCTGAAGTTGTGGTGGTTTGGGGGTTTTGTTGTATGGTCAAATCTGGAGAACTCTGGGTGTTCTGCATTTTTGTACTTACCTGCTCTGGTATCTGGAGGTTTCGTATCATTTCTGTAGTAAAATGGCAAAATGTGAAGTTGTGTTAATTGTCCAACCTGAATAAAGCAGCCTTCACATTTCTCAGTAATTCACTTTAAGAGCCTTTAAAACATTACATGAACCTGGGAACAAATTCTAAAACCATTCTCAGACAACTCTAACATCTCTTACTGAGATGTTTTCTGTCCATGGCGACTGGGTGGCAGCACTGCCCAGGGATGGGCAGGTGCAGAACCACCTTTCTCTGCTCTAAGTGCAGAGTCACTGAGAGCAAGTGCTGTCCTGGGCAGTGATGATGTTGGGAGCATGAGTGTTTCAATGTCAGTGTTAGGGTGACTGCACAGACTAAATTTGGCTGCCTTGGGCAGTTCTAAGTGATGAAGTGCTCTGGTGACTGCAGATCCCTTGTCCTTTTTTCACTCAGGCTTGATGTCCTTCTGCCCATTTCTACTTTCTAGGACCTTCTTGCCCAGTGAGTTTCCTCCCTAGTCTCTAGTCAGACACATGCTGCAGTCTGCTCGTTATTTCCAAATCTGAATCAAATTAATCTTTGTTGTGATTGGAGACTAGGAACCAGTCACAAGGCTGCTGCTGAGAACAGAATTGTTTTTGTGCTCTTGGCTCTGGACCTGGCACAAAAACATCACTAATTAGTATCTTGTTTTGCTTCAAAAGCCGTGGGGAGGGGTCTCGAGCAGGGGCAGAGCCAGCCTGTGTATTCCACGGTTTATCCAAGCAGGTCTCTGCTGATGTGCAGCTGTGCAGTGTATTTACTGTGGCCAGATCAGAATGGACTCTTGGGGGAATGGTTACAGGTATATCCCACGCTCCTCTGCCAAGGGTGGAAAATCCCCATGTTTTGGAGTAGTTTTAAGGGGAGGAAAAAAGTCACAAGAAGGCAAGAACTGGGAAATGCAAACCTTGTTATTAACGCTGCTATTTTGGCTGGTATTTTGTGTGTGGAAGAACTGGTTCAGCCTGGAGTGTTCCAACCAAAATGTTCCTCTGGCGATGGCACATGCAACTGGAATTTGGTTTTGCAATGGGAAGTATGTATGGGAATTCTTCAGTTTGTGTTAGGTGTGAGCTGTGGGGATGAAGTATAGTCCACTGGAAAGTTACTGAAGGTTATTTAAGGAGTGAGAAGTCCGTGTTTTCTTCCCATCTGTGTAGCAGCACTGGGACTAAAACTTGCAGCTGTAGCTGTGCAAGTGTCCTGCACAGGGGTTACACTTCAGGTAGCACAGGGCACAGTGCCTGGGGAAGGTGCCCTGATCCCACTCCCTTGTCCATGGAGGACAAACACCCACAGAACAACACGAAGTAAGAGCAGAATGTCCTTGGGGAGTCCCTGCTGCTGGCACGGTGGCTCTGCCACGCGGTGGCAGCTGCGTTCCACGGCTCTTCTGGCTGCTCTGGGCAGCTGAGGGAAACCCACCACTGAGAGATTCCAGGGACTAAATGATTCCTGGAACACTTCAGGACAGGACTGCACAGTTGCCATGGAGGTACTTCATCGTGGCCCCTCCGACTGCCCTTCCAAGAGCTACTCTTGGACCTTCATGGCTGTCACCTGGAGGATGGAATACGCTGGCTTTTGCCCAAGTCCAGGAGAGGAGCAGAACAGATCTGCTTTCTATAAATAAACCTCCAAACTCGCTAACTAAGTGTAGAGCTGGAAGAACACTGAGTGCAATAATGGTAAGTGTAATTCACATTTTTAACTTAAATTTAGAAAGTGTGTTTCTGCTAAGTTAGGCCCAGCTATAACGAGCTGACAGAGACCAAGAGGTGTCACAGAGCTCACAGAGTTTCACCAAAGGGCAGGACATGCTGTCTGCACAGAGCTGCTGCAGAGCAGGATACCAGAGACCCCTCAACACCCTTGGCTCCTCAGGAAAAAAAAAAGAATTCAAAAAAGTAGCACACTGGGATTTTTTACGAGTCAGTGTATTCATGGATGAGTACTGAGCCAAGAACAAGCCTCTTCTTCCCCTTTAGGTCACTTGCAGTTTTATTTCTTGTGTCTCCTGTGCATCAGTCCCCATTACAGGCCACTTCTCATCACACACACCTATTCTGGATATAACCATTTCCTTGCATTGCTTTGGGTAAGCTGTTTTCTCCTGCACATCCCTCATTTACCCTGATCTTGAGTCTTGTGTCTGAAAGCAGGGCTAATGGAAAGAAAACACTCTAAGGCAACAGAGGGAAAATAAAATCCATATAGTAGGTAAGTTATGCTGCCAGTTGCAAGGAACAAATCTGTGCAGTCAAGGGAATACAGCTCTCTAAGACGCCATTTCCTGCTGCTAAACAATTTGGGAATGGGCTTTTATATCCCTTAGCAACCTAATGTTCTCAAAGTCAACAGGAATTTTGGCACAGCTACCTCCCGTTAATGAACTGTTTGTGATGCTTTCAAAAAACTGATACAGCCTGTCACCGGGAAAAAAAGAAAGCCTCTGATTAAAGTCATCTCAAGGAAAGGGTGGAAGTGAACTGCAATTAACCTCTTTCCTTCTGCTGTCCATCAGGGACTGCTGCAGGGATTGCTCATGGATGTCCCCCCTCAGCACCCTCAGCTCTCTGCACCGTGGGCCGTCTGCACATCCAGCTGATGAACAGGACTGTTATCCCGATGTCCCAGTGTTTTCTCTATCTCTGTTTCCACTTTGAGCCGACAGTCCCGAATGGCATCCTGGATACTCCGCAGGTCCCACTGGGTTCTGGGCAGGGCATCGTCCAGCGTGAAAACCCCGTCGCGTGTTCTCCGCACCTGTGTGCACACGGCCGAGGATTTCAGCTCCAGGCCGATCTCGTGAACTACCTTCCGCAGGTACTGCTGGGTCTCATGCAAGCAGTGGATTTCTAGGAGGACAGAGAGATTCCTTCAGAAGCAGCAAAACTTTGACACAAGCTCAGACTTTGTATACCCAGACATCACTCGCAGTTAGGCTGAAAGAACTGGTTTGGCAGAAGGCACTGTTTAAGATACAGCATGGGTGGATTATGATTTTCTGGAATACTGCAGGGTGTCTTATCCCCGCCCAGAGTGAATACTTTAGGAAAACAAACCCATAAATACAAGAGAATAATGTAGAAATTTAGGTATTTCAAAGGCACTTTTTTAATAAGGCAAATAGTTTGTGAGGAGGAGACTAGATGCAGGAAAGCAAATCATGCTTTAAAAAACCCCAACAACCCAGCACTGAAATGCATTGCACTGAATCATTGGGATAAGAAGAATTTTGCCCCTTAGGTATTCACGATGCAAATTTTCTGGCCTCAGACTTAGATCTGGAACTGGCAGGGAAATGAACTGGGTGTGCAGCTGGATGGATCTACCAGAGCAGCGTCAGTACTGTGAAGATTCCAGATATTCCCCTACCAAAAAATCTTTCAACCACTCTGAAGAGTTCATCAAAAGAGGAGATGCATTGGTGACTTTGGAAACTACAAATCCTTCAAATTTTCTGCAGGGATTAGCAGTTACAAGTTGATGAGAAATTCTCACCAAGTTATTTGGCATTAAATCACAATTCAGAAACTGAATTTTACCAACTTAATTTGCCATAACACAGAGTTCCCCAGTACATTCTGGGCCAGTCCTACCTAGCTGGAATTCTGGAAGTGCAAACTGGAGGCATCGGATCGCTGTGATTATCGGGGGGCTTTTATCCATGGGACGAATCAACCCTTTGACAGCCAGCTCATAAGCCTCTTGTGTTTTCATATCAATGTTAGAATACCTGGAAAAACAAAAAAGGGGGCAGAACAGACATTTAGTACTTCTCTCCAGTGGGATTCAAGATATCTCCACCCCCAACAAAGCAGAGCTGCAGTTTTTGTTCTTGAAACTGCCTCTCTGTTGAGTTTTTGCATATATTTTAATACTGTCAGTGGTGTAGCACAGTTTGGGAGGGAGGTACCTGGTCATGTCTGCAAGATATTTTTGTCAGCCCTAATGTAGCAAATTGGTCTAAAAACAGCTGGAGATTTCAGGATACAAGGACACTTAACTGCAACCTCTCACCAGAGCATTCCCAGTAACTCCTCTCTGCCCCTGGCAAGCATTCCAACCTTTAAAGACTTTGATTATGGGAAACAAAACCCTCTCCTTTGTTTTAAAGATCGGCAAATGGCAGTGGGATCAGGTCAGCTCATTTCCCCCTTGGATACCCACATCAGCAGGGCCTTGTGATTTGTCCCTTGAATGACAGCGAGAATCCGTTCCAGCTTCTCCCTTGTGATGTGATCTGCAAATATTAAGGCACAAACAAAGTCTCAATTATCCATCCAGAAACTGGAAAGAGACAGCAGCCTGAAACGTGCCACTGAGGTATTGCTGTCCCTTGGGCAGTCACATCCAAAGGGGCTGATGAGAGGTGGCCTCAGCAGAGCCACTTTCCCCGGCTGCACATGGAGCAGCACAGCACTGGACTGCAAAGGGAAGAGTTACTTTGCTTAATTCATTTCAAGATGTCGATGCTCCAGTTTCTCTTATCGGGTGTTTGAAGAGTTTCATTCGATGAAAGCTTTTAACTGCTATCACCAAGTGTGATTTACAGAGATCTGGGTCTTGACCAACCCAGTAGCAATGACTGTGGCCAGCACTTATACTGGCTTTTATATTTTATATTGTGTTATATTTAGAACAAGTGGACTACAACAATAACAAACAGAAACCATGTAAGGGGCAGCTTTTGTCGTGCAATTCACCTGGTTAAATGCTTTAAAGTTAGTGTGCTGTTTGGTGTTCTGTATTTAAAAAAAAAAAAACACATAAAATCGGTTTCTTACCAAATGTTGTCTTCTCTATTAGCTTCCCTGTGTCTGAGAAATCATCAGTGGCTTTACCAAACAGCCCACCAACAGTGTAAACCTGGAAGAAAGGCAAAGAGCACAGTTTAATCAAATACTCCCAGCAACTGAGTAGCAGTGTTGTGCCATGCAGCTGCGAGGAGTGCAGGCTACGAGTGTTGCACACAAAGGCAGCACCATCCGGGGCTCTGCAGGCCATGAGTGGATGCTCAAGGTAAGGGTAACGTTCTGGACCTTGAAAAGCTCTCAAAAGCATTGGTGGGT